ATAAAATCATCATCTGAAAATTTCTTCATAAACACACAATGATCAGATGTGGTTCTATCATACCCTTGGCTTATCATAAAGAAATCAAACTTCTTATACCACTGTTTAGGTGTCTGTTTGAGTCCATATAAGCTTTTCCTAAGCTTACACACTATATTTTCTTTTCCCTTGACTTTGAAACCTTCTGGTTGCTCCATGTAAATTTCTTTTTCTAAGTCACCATGAAGAAATGATGTTTTTACATCAAGTTGCTCAACTTCTAAATTCAAGCGGGCAACTAAACCAAGAACAACTCGGATGGAGGACATTTTCACAACTGGAGAAAATATTTCTTCAAAGTCAATACCTTTCTTCTGACTAAATCCTTTCACAACTAATAGTGCCTTGTATCTTTGTTGTGAGCTATTGTTTTCAGTCTTCAATTTATAAACCCACTTATTCTTGAGAGATTTCTTCTCTTTAGATAATTTTACTAAGTCATAGGTGTGATTCTCAAGCAAGGATCTCATCCCTTCTTACATGGCTTTAACCCATTCATTCTTATGCTCATGTAGAATAGCTTCTTGATAAGTTTCTGGCTCTCCCCCGTCAGTAAGCATAATATACTCATGTGGAGGATATCTGGTAGATGGTTGTCGCTCTCTAGTGGATCTTCTCAATGGAATCTCAACTGGTGGTGAAGGTGCCTATTCAGTTGGTTCAGCATCATCAACTGTAGGTGTATCATCACTGGTATTCTCACCATAATCTTCTTGTTCATCTCCCCCATGATCATCATGAACTACAAGTGAAGGAACTGGACCCAAACTCCAAGGAATATAAACAGAGGTTTCTAGCTTCTCAATATTATCATCATCATCAAACAATTGGTCTTCAAGAAACATAACATCTCTGCTTCTAATAATCTTTTGTTCACTGGATCCCATAATTTGTACCCAAACTCTTCATGATCATATCCCAAGAAGATACATGCTTTTGTTTTACTATCAAGCTTGGACCTCTCATCTTTGGGAATATGAAAAAATGCTTTACACCCAAAGATTCTTAAGTGATTATAAGATATATCTTTTCCTCTCTATACTCTCTCTGGAACATCACCTTTCGAAGGAATTGATGGAGAAAGATTTATCAGATCAATTGTAGTTCTCATAGCCTCCCCCCAAAATGACTTTGGCAACTTGGCGTGGGAAAGCATACACTTAATCCTTTCTTTAATGGTTCTGTTCATCCTTTCTGCCACACCGTTCTATTGAGGAGTTTTAGGAACTGTTTTATCAAGCCTGATACCATGGAACTTGTAATAATTCTCAAAAGGACCCCTGTACTCGTCACCATTATCTGATCGAATATACTTTAGTTTTATGTCAGTTTCTCTTTCAACACTAACATGAAACTCCTTGAAAACATCGAGTACCTGGTCTTTAGATTTCAAAGCAAAAAGCCCATACTTTTCTAGAATAGTCATCAATAAAAGTAACAAAATAAAAAGCACCTCCAAGAGTTCTAGTTTGCATAGTGTAGACATCAGTATGAACTAAATCAATAACATTTGATCTTCTTGATGATGGATATGTCTAAAATGAAACTCTATGTGTTTTTCCAGTTAGGCAATGATCATAAGATTTAAGAGATGTACCTTACAGCTCTAGTAAAAACTATTTTCTAACAAGAGTTTGAAGTCCCTTCTCGCTGATATGTCCAAGCCTCTTATGCCAAAGATCTATACTTTCACCTTTTTGAATTGTATTAATCTCTCTTTTGTGTAGCTTATCTTCCATGACATAAAAAGAGTTAAGTTTTTTTTCTCTTGCCACAATTAGATAACCTTTAGTGAGTTTTCATTTACTTTCACCAAAATAATGTTCAAAGCCCTCATAATCTAGTCTACCTGCAGATATCAAGTTAAGACGAATATCTGGAACATGCCTTACATCTTTGAGTATCAATTTGCTCCAAATACTAGTCTCTAAGCAAATATCTCCAATACACATAATCTTAGATGTACCACTGTTTCCCATTCTGACATTACCAAAATTACTAGCAGTGTAAGATCTAAAGAAATCACTATGAGAAGTAACATAAAATGAAGCACCAGAGTCAATTACCCAATTACTGTCTTAAGCTACAAGACTAACACAATATTCATCACAGACAATAGTGATATTACCTTCAGCAGCAATTGTATTGGTCTCTTTCTCATTTTTCTTCATTTCATTCTATTCTCAATTCCAAAACCTACACTCTTTCTTCATGTGACCTGGCCTGTTACAATGAAAACATATAATATCTCTTCTAGACTTATATCTTCCTCTATATCCATATGGGTTTCTGCTATGACTTCTTCCACGTCTTTCTTTTTTTTCAGTAACAAATGCACCAGAAGAAGATTCATCCTATTCGTTCCTTTTGGCATCTTCATTTAGCAAACTATCTTTAACCATATCTATAGTTAGAGTTCCCTTTGGCGTGGAGTTGCAAATAGTCATTACATACGTTTCCCAACTTTCTGGTAAAGAGCTGAGAAGTAGTAATCTTTGCATCTCATCATCTATATTCATTTTCATAGCAACCAACTTGTTTGCAAGACTCTGAAATAGGCTTATGTGCTCAACAATGTTACCACCATCTTTATACTTCAAATTTACAAGCCTTCTGAGGAGAGAAATTCTATTTCCCACTATCTTTTTCGTAAAGAGATTTTCTAACCTTTGCCAAACAATATCAGCTCTGGTTTCATCTGAAATATACTCATGCAAGTTTATATCAATCCATCTTCTAATATAGGCAATAGCTTTTCTATGTTAAACTTCTCATTCTTCATCGTCCATAGTAGAAGGTTTATCTTTAACCTTGATAGGCTTATACAAATCTTTGCAATAGAGCAAATCTTCCATCAGACTCTTCCAAGTGGAATAATTTGATGAGTTCAATTTAATCATATCATCTGACTGCTCCATTTCAATCACACAAGAAAAAACTAGTACAAAACAACTTGTTGTTGGGAAAAAAAATATGTTAAAGCGGAATATTCTTTTCCCTCTTTATGTATCAAAATGAGTTCCTTATCAAAATACCAACTTGATATCCAAATAAATATATCAACCAGCACAGCATAAATAATAGAGCAAATAATCAATCACACGGTGAGACCAAATCTTTTTAACATGGAAAACCCAATATAGGAAAAACTACGGGACGATAGTCCACCTCAAACTTCCACTATCAATAGTAATGATAACAGGTTTACAATCGATCTTCTCTAGAATAACTAGAGGATCACAATAACATCAAGAACATAAATCTTGGCTAAGAATAGCAAATCTTCATCAGATGGATTTCCTCGTAAAGAATTCTAGATCTCATAAAGTAGGTATAGCAGGAAAATACCTCAAAGAGGGTAAAATGTATATCAACACCATTAGGATTATAGAGTTTACTGCAAGAATTCTCCACATAAAATTTGGGTCAAAACTGATAAAATTTAGCCATCGATCGTTAAGCAGAAAACTTAGAAATCTAATCTTTCTCTCTCCTCTTTCCTCTCTTCTCTATGTCGCCGCACGCTGCACGTTCATCTTTTGTTTTTTTTTTATTATTTCTTTAATTTAGGTTCAAACGATCCAATTTGTCCAAGCCCACGTATGGGCTGGAGCCAACAAAAGCTTGTAACTTCAATTAGAGTGGTCATATACATCATATATTTATATGCTTCCAAGGGTATATATAATCATTAAAATGGGATTAGCAATAGCAAGCTTCAATTAATTAGACCCATCGTGACACATCGTGTCACCGGATTTGCCTAATTGAATTGAGAGGGTGATGTGTACGTTTGATATGCATGTGAAACTTGTCTAACCATATCCCATAGTTACCTCCTCCGTTGATTCAATTTGGTCAAAGTCAACATTTTGATTTTGATTTTGTCGTACAAAAAAAAAATAACGGCGGAGATCAAAAGAAAAAATGGGGACGCATGATTTGGTGGTCAGTTCGAGTCATCAGATGATGTGTGACGCCTCGTCGGCAAAGCAAAACATACATTGGCACACAGAAACAAGCAGCCAATACATTGCGTCTACCTGCAATGAACCCATAAACAATGGATTTAGTGGAGTCAACGACAGAAGTTGGAATGAGCCGAAGAGGAGAAACATGATGGTTAGTGTTCCTGCAATCGTATATACGTATGTATACACAGACATTAAAAGAAGACCTGACTAAGCTGAGGCAAAAATAACGTTGGCGACTGGAGGAATGAAACACAATCAAGTTGGAGCTTTGAAGAATATAAAACCAACCGATGACACTAAAACATGCGGTAAAATATGTTGGATGGATCATTCCGTCACTTCATTTAAAAGGTTTAACATAAAAAAAGAATTTTATATGGACCACAAGTCATTGTTTTGACTCATCTTCAAGTATTTAGTCTACGGGTCTACTCGCGCAATCATCGGTTAGTATCGTCCAGTATACAACTAGATTCACCATCGTAGCTGTCTTTAGGGTCAAAACAGCAGTCACGCTCCAACATGAATTCAACCTTAATAGGAGGACTAAGAGTTGCGTATGTATATATACATCTCTCTTTGTGGTTTAGTAAAGTGTAAAGCACTACTTTACATAAATAATCATTATGATGAACCCGATGAAAAATAATAAAAGATAAGAATAATTATTAAAAAAATTTTATTGAAGTAACTTTAGCTTTAATACATTCACATGCCTCTCTCCTATTTATATAGATTAGGAGAGAGAATTTTTCTCAACAGAATAGAGAGATTTCTTAGAGAAATCTTATCTAACCGTGTAATTTACAAGAAGGAATAACATGAATTATGTTGCTTCAAATTGAAGATCATTTTCTTCTTATTATGGATCTTGATCAGGTGGAGAAGAATGATAACGAATTAATGACACAAGATCTAAAAAACAGAGAAAAGAACATTATATATATATATATATATATATATATATATATATATATATGTGGCAGCAAAAACCTCTCTGAGTGGTGTGGAGCTCCAATCCAATGTGGCATTCAGAAGTTCCAAAGCGGAAACCATGCATCGCCATCATCGTCGTCGTCCCAGGACCAGGCTCCGCTAACCATTGTGGAGGAGTAGAGGGCCGGCAACGTCTCCGTCGCTGGCTCCTCAAACGTCCCCGGCCCCGAGGTACCCTCTCCTGGATCCACCAGCTTCGCACCTTCCTCCTGCTGCGCTCTCCGCTTCGCCCCCTCCTCCGCGTGCCCAACCGCCGCCTGCCGTATCTCGTACCGGCTCAGCCTGTCCGCGGACGGTATGTTGGGCGGATGGTCCGGGAAGTTGAGTGCCTCCCCGGGGCCGCGCAGGCAGTACACGGCCGCATCGTATGCCATCGCTGCCATCTCGGGCGACGGGAACGAGCCGAGCCACAGCCTTTCCCGGCTGTTGGGGTACCTCGCCTCCGCCACCCATTTGCCCCACTTCCTCAGCCGTACCCCCTTGTACCTCGGCGCCACCTCCTTGCTACTCTCCTGCTTTTCCATCCTCAGCCGGAACACACGATGCCTCCCCTCCCGGAGTCGTGCGTTGGCAAGATAGCAGTAGGAAGGAGTGCGCGAGTACTTGTAGGAGAGCAGAGGCGTTGAATTCGGCGGCAGGGGAAAGAGGTCCACGGTCGTGTGGATGAGCCGTCCTTGTTGCCATGCGGGGGGATCCGAAACTACTGGACGGTGTGGCATGAGAAAGGTCATGGGGGCTCTGTACGTGCGTGGAGGAGATGACATTGCACTACTGTTCCGGATAGCAACTACGATGCCTTCCTGATGCTATTGAGGCTGCTTTTGGACACAGGATGGGAGGCGGCGGTAGTAGTTTCCTCGATGCCTCTGCTGGTCTGCGACATGGAACAAGAAGCCAATTTTACGTCACCGAAGCCGAAAACCTAACGCGTCATGTAGAAAAAAAGATTGGTTTCACACTTGTTTCCTCTATATATCTGCTCTTGATCTATTGATTTGTTGGTTGATTGATTGATGGGAGCCGCAAAAAAATAAGATCATATAGCTTATTTCAACAACAAAAAAAAAGAACCCCCCAATTTTGTCTGTAATTTCCAAATTCCCATTTTGATTCCCGCATGGAGGAACTAACTACGTGATTTGCCATCACGAGACAGAGCATTGCCGCATGCATGCGGTGAGTAAGCAGCGAGCAAACCCAAGAGTCTTCGTTGTCTCCAAATCCAACACGTTTCGTTGGCTTCGACCGCTACTGGTCTGATGAATGAACGTGGAATGGCACTTTGGCTTTGATGTCAGAAATGAGTTCCAATTTCGGCCCATCGAACCCACGTTTCTCTTTTGCCGGTCAATTGAAATACCGGTCCAAAAGGTGCCCGAAGCCCCCCCAACTATATTAATTAAGATATAGTTGACTGACAGCTTTCTATTATATTAAATCATTCAAATTTCTTTTCATGCCACATTACGGTCAATTTCGCATTTTTTATATTACAGTAACGCCCTTCGCGGCCAATTGAAAATAGGGTATTTATGTCATTTGGCTGATTTATCCGTTTTGGCGAAAGGAAAACCCTAATTTCGTGCAGAAAACCCCTTCAGCTATTTCCCGATCGAGCTTTCGTCCATGCCCGACGCAAGGATCGAAATCGGGCATCAGAATGATTATTTATTCGACGAAGGAGTTCGATTCCTGGCTCTCTCGCTCGCTCTCTGTCTTTTTTTTTCCTAAGATCCCAATTCGGAGTAACGAGCGGTCGGACTAGATTGGGATGAATCGAACGTTTTCTGGAGGAGTGACCGACGATTGCAGAGATGCGTAGGGCGTTGCAAACAGTGCTGGTAATTCTCTTCCCGATGATGCAAATCTTGAATTTTCGTAGATCGTGATGTGTTTCTCAGACTCAACATTGATTATAGCCGCAAAACGTTTGATGTGTTAGTTTTGGGAACCCTGAGAGGAACTGGGGCGCGTGTGATTCTATTAGTTTCGCATATGTTTCTTCTGGGATTCCCAAGTCTTCGGTGCTTAAACAAACGAGTTGATGTTAGATTGGTGCCTAAACAAACGAGTTTGTTTTGTACATATTGCGGCTTGCATTATTGGTACTATTTGATTTGATCGGTCACTCAGGAGTCGAAAAAACAGTTTACGGATAAATTAATGGCCTAATCTTTGTCTGAAATCAACTTGTTCTTTTGTTGAAGTCAATGATATCACCTGTCATTGACTTGTTCAACGCGGCCCATGTCGATGCACCGCACATATCAGATATGTGAGATATGTTTGTCACACGTGCTTTCCTTTTTCAGGGGTGATTTCATCCATCTAAATAGCATTTTTTTCCTTTTGGAAATTTATTTGTTTGCAAGTATTTTGTCCGTATTTGCTTTCTGTATTAATTTCTTGTGTGATTAGTGTCCAGAGACCACATCAACATTTGGGCCTCAAATCATCAGTTTGGGGCTGTTCTAATGTTTCAGCCGCTGGGGTAATGAATCTTAACAAAGCTAAAACAATTTCTACTAGTGCATATCTTTTACCTGCTACGTCACAGCAAGTATGATAAATGTTATCATATTGCAAATCTTAGTTCGAATCGGCACCTTTCAGTGTCTCACTGCACCATTCTTTTGATATTGTCTTTTTTTCATTCTTTGGATCCGTGAAAAGCGTTTTTTACAGATTATAATGTCTTTTCACTTTACTGGAATCTTTCTAGAATATGGGCTAGTTGAATAGCTACATTTGAAGCGTATGAGGAGGTACACACCGTTAAATTCTGGTAGCCTTAAGTTGATATTTGTCTTAGAATACAACATAAATACTTTAGTAGTCGGATTGGTGAGGCACTGATGTTTGCCAATCAATGCATGCCTGGAAATAGTGAAAGCCCACAAGTCATATTATTTGGTCTACCAGTACACATCAGACAAGACAATGAAGTTTGTTTTTGTATAAAGGATGTCCTGAGAACCCAACAGATCATTCTAAAAAGGTAGGTCAGACTGAACCATCGTGTTTTAACTCAAGATTCCCACCTTGGCTTTAGATGTACATGTCATTTAATATGAGTTGGATGGACCAACACCAAGTTGCTCAAGATGCATTTGAGTCTCTTTGTGCTTTCCTCTCTCATCTCTAAGCTACTTCATGGATTATATAATGAGCTAATTTGTCCTCTTATCTTAAGCCTATGTATATCTGCAAAAAGTTTTTAGCTCAAGGCAAACAACCGATTCAGCAAGGGTGTCATCGACCCCCCATAATCTGACTTGAATTTGGTCGCATATTCTACAGTTTGAAACTTAAAACAGATACATCCAGTTGGTTCGGATCCATACCAAAGCCTAATAGTTGTGACCCACCTGGCAATGAAAACAATGGAATTTTCCATGCTTTTTTGAAATTAATGCAGTAGCTATCCTAGTGATGCAATTAGATATAAAGGAAATTAAAATGAAATAACATATACACATACACATACACGTACACATACACATACACATACACATAATACATAATACATATACATATACATATATATATACATACCCTGCGTGCTTGTCATTGACATCACAAGCACTTATCACATTCAACGATTGATTCTGAATGGTAATCTTAATATAGGACTACAATAACTACAGAAGAAATATAGTATGAATATTTAAAGAAAATAAAAAGAGGATCAGTCACCAACCACTCCAATTGACATAGAATGTAATTGCTGATATTACTGCATAAGATGTGCCAAATTGATACAAATTGTGGTATACTTCCTGATTAGTACCTACATTTCAAACACTCCTTAAGCCTTAAAACACTAACCAAAGTTATCAATGTAGATACTTCCACTAGCTGGTACTGATACTTTTCATTTTCCTTTCTTGTCATTTTGAGTCATCGGATGCTTAAAAAACCAGTCATTGTTGTTATTTATTTGTGATCTTTGGCATAATTAATTTCAAGCCTCATTCTTTGTTTATATAGTAACTCCTTTGGCTATGGAGGAGATTTAAACAATGATATGCATCAAAACTAGCCGACATGCCAATCAAAATTCTGTATCCTATTTGTAGTATTCAAAGGCATGCCTGTGACCTGTGATGCTATGCTGTAAGCATCAAAGTATTCCACAATCTCTGGTCTTGGTTTATTCTGCTCATCTTAATGTCTGAATTCAGAAAGTAGTAAACTTCTTTAGTTGGTGCATGCATCTTATTTGCTTAATTCTTCTTTCTTATGTCCAGCACTAATTTGTATAGAGTTCATCGGTCAACTTGGTCTTCTCCTGCAACTAAGCTCTGGTCTCAGTTTATTCTGTTCATCTTAATGTTTGAATTCAGGAGAGTTGCGAACTTCTTCTTTAATTGGTGCATGCAGCTTAGTTGCTTGACTTTTCTTTCTTATTTATGTCCTGCATTAATTAGCATAGAGTTCGTTGTTCCACTTGGTCTTATCCCGCAATTCTGTTGCCTTCTTTTTTCATTATTTTTCATTTCTTTCTCCACTCCAATCACCATGGAGCTTGAAGAGTTGCAATGTATTATGTGCAAGTTGGTCCACATGAATTTAGCTTCCTCATAATTAAACATTTGGGCTTCGTGAACACATCTAAGTAAAGAAGCAGATCCAAACTTATATTGTTTGTCATATTTAACAACTAAGATTCTGCGTACCAATCATGGTATCAGACTGCAAAGAATACCCAAAAGTAGATCGAATAACCTACTAGTTTGAGAATCATAACAAAATAAAAAGATTACCAACCACCCGTTAGAGTGATGAAGAATGCTCTTGCTGTTGTTACTGCATAAGATATGCCAAATGGATTAAAGTTTTGGTTTAACTTCTGTTTAGTATCTACCCTGCAACATTCCTTGAAACCTTAATCAAGTTATTATCCTTGATACTTCCACTGGCTGGTATGAAATTTTCATTTTCTTTTATTGCCATTTTGAGCTGTCAGATGCTTAAAACAAGTATTCGGTATTACTAATCCTTTCTGATCATTTAGTGTAATTATAAACAATATCAATGTGGCTTTGAGAGGGTCTCTGAACTCGTATATGCCTATCAAAATCTGCATTTGCTGTGATCAAGGTATGCCTCTAATGTTACTAATTCTTTCTGATATTTTAGTGTGATCATGAACAATATCAACAACCATCAGGGACCGAGCCAAGACATGCCACAGCAATGTGGCTTGGAGATGGTCTGAAAACTTCCATGCGCCTATCAAAGTCTATTTGCAGTGTTCGAAGTATGCCTCTGATGTTGTGCTGCAAGCATTAAAGTCCACTCCATAACCTCTGGTTTGAGTTCAGGAAAGCTGTAAACTGCTTTAATAGGTGCATGCATCTTAGGCGATCGACTCCACTTTCTTGTGTCCACTTGATCTTATAGTGCAGTTTTGTCGCCTTCTTTTCTGCTGTTCTTCTAGTTTCTATTTCTTTCTCCATTCCACTCACCGGAAGAATTGCAAAACCATGTGCAAGTGGCCCATAGGAATTCAGCTCCATAATTAGTATGCTGCATGAACGCATGTAAACAAAAGAAACAAGCCCCACCAGAACTTGATCCCATTAGTTGTGGCTCTACATAAATGACGAAGGAGATCATTAAATTACAGTGGGGTTTCACTTCCATGAATATTTCTTGATGGATTTAGTCACAATGTGCTGCTTGTATAAACCAGTCGAGAACGACAAAGTTAGCAAGAAATATATATCATCAAACAATTCGCAATATAATTGATGACATTGCGTTTCTTTCTGGAAACAACCCCTCATTCAATCTGCACTCCTTTTTATTTACCTCCAAATTGATTCTCAGGTGGTGTGTGTGTGTGTGTCTTCATGATTCAAAAAGTGGAAATAAATAATACCATTCAGGAAATCAAAATTCGAATGATCTGATCGTCCGAGCATCAGTTAAATCACTACCGTACCTTTAGAAGCCATTTCGATGGCATGGCATGACCGACATGGGACATTATTTCTTCCCGGTCGTATATGGGCTCGCCTGATTGAGCCACGGCAGGATTCAGGATTTTCGCCGATTGATCGAGAATCCTGGACCCTGGTCCATGTCAATGGTAATGTGGTCCACCACCCTTGTCCGCTGTCGCTGGGCTCAGGTGGTTCCCTATCGGCGGTGCCCGCTGAGGACCCACCACCTGATTGGCTGGAAAGCGACCACACATCGTTTAGGGGGAGCCACGTCGCGGCCCATGCGATCGCAGGCAGTTGGTGGGTGGGTGGGGGGCCCGCCAAGGTTTCGACGTCCTATCGAGGCGTTCCGTGTGCTGTCCTCTGGGCCAACACCCTCGTCGCGTGGCTGGTGAGAAGGAGAACCGCCCGAGCGTGTGAGGCTGCATGTGAGTGCGACACAACCAGAGGGTTCTGATTCCTTCCTCGCCCTTTTGTTTGGTTGTGTGCTCCCGGGACTGTGGGACCCATCGCCCAGCACCAAAGGGTTGGTGGCGTTGATTGCTTCGACCACCCACTCCACTCCACTCGACTCTACTCGACTACACTCGAGCGCGTTGACGTCATGGAAAAGGGTATTTTCGTCATCCGACCATATCGTTTCACCCATCACGTCGATCCTCCCCGACGCGTGTCGCTCGCTGTGCTTCATCGCTGTCGCGGTCGACATCATGGGAGGTGGATTCCCGCCACGACCCGACGTCTCCTGCGAGCCATCCATCCATCAGCTAAATCGCCCACCTTTTCTTCTGCTCAGGCCATGGTTTTGTGCAGCCAAATCATCGCCCAATAATTCAGCTATTTTACATTCCTGTGAGAAATAACTAAACAATCGACAAACGACAAAAGCACGAAAAAGGATCGAAGCAGACGCAGCGTGGGTGGCTTGGAGAGGAGGTCTTCTAAAGCATCGCAGAGCGGACGCCGTTTTCCTCCGCCTCTCCCAGCTGACACAGGCCGGCATGGTGCACCAGCCCCGTCCGACCGTCCCAAAGCTGCCGGACCCGATCCGTCTCTGTGATCGGATGTGGCTCATCGGCGGCGCAGCCGAGCGCAACCCGCAGTCTCCCAGGGGGTGGAGGAATCGCGACCCCGACGGCGTCGGGCTTGGCATCGCGGTGGCGCTCGAGAAGGCCGGCGGGGACAGCCCCAGGTGGCTCCGCGTGACGGCCCCCATTGCGATCCGTTCTCCGAGAGCGAGCGGTCCTCAAGTGGCCGGGCCGGGGTGCAGCGGCGAATTGCACCGGAAGCGACCAGCTTCTTGCCGCTTGCCGCCACCGGCCGCAGAACATTTTGGGGTCGCCGACTTCCTCAGCAGTTGCTTCCTGTGCAGGAAGAATCTACATGGGAAAGATATCTTCATGTACAGGTAGGTCAGACGCCAATCTATTCCTTCTCCTACCTAACCTCTCTCTATCAATTACAACATGTACCGATGGAGGTGCAACTTCTGCCGCAGAGAGAAGGCATTCTGCAGCTCGGAGTGCCGATACCGGCAGATCACGAGCGACGAGTACCAGGAGAAACGCGGCGCTGGAGCCCCGAAGCCGTCGGAGGAGATCGCCACCTCCCCCTACTCCGGCGATCAATTCTTCTTTACGTGCATCGTGGTGTCATAAACACGAGAATGTCGACATGTAGAGAAAGCTTTCTGATGAGTTTAATGCGTAGATACTGAGTATAGAAACTACTGTTCACGAAGATTGTGACGTCTCAGCACATAACGATCCTTCACAGATAAACTGGTAAGAACAGATACTACACTTGATCTCAGCCAAAAGGCCGAAATAAGTACGAGTTACTGGGACGCACTGAGACCCATTTTATAGCGTCTTCGAACCCGGCTATTTGGACATACAGCGATGTGGGACTATTCACCGTCGAATGCTGATTTGGCACATAGATAGTGGTGATTAATATGCATACAAATATCGTGTGGTCTCCATGGATTGCTTCATCTACTATGCTACCACAAGAGCCAGATTGCCTATAAAACACATACACAAATACGTATTGCGACAATAGTATCATTAACATATTCCTTTCTCAACCACATTACTTTCACGAGTACCCATTATAAATTTAAGGATCTACAATATACAGATGTAGTATTAAGACCAAATCATATAGAAACTACAACACCAATGAGTGTCCCCTCGAGATCTAAAAAATAGGAACAAAAAAGGGAGAAGGGGGGAGGACATATAGGTTAAAAGACTCCCCATGTAGTCTCATCAAACCCTATGGGCATTCCATGTCTACATCGTACTTCTGCAGTGATACAATTACATGTGACCAAATTGAGACATAGTGGAAGTATTAAAGAAAGTGTCTGATCCACAAAAGGAAAAGCTTCAGAAGATCAACGGAGTCCATGGAGGAATCCAATCACTAATAGTACATGAACTGCTGTGCCGCACTAACATTTTGGAACCCGCCATCGTAGATAGCCTGGCTGGCACCAGCGCCCATTCCCAGTGCAGCTTGCTTGAGAGCAACCTGACCCTGAGCATGCATCAATGCCTGGTTGCCGCCCATCTTGCTCAACACCAAAGAGCCATCGTGACCAAGGAGGTCAGTTGCGGAGAGTTCGGGGAATGGAGCAGCTGTGGGTGGAGGCAGCGGTGTTGAGGCCGTCCCAAGTGGCGTTGGTTTGCTGCCCCAAGAACACTGCAACAGAAGCAAATAAATGCACTAAGTACTCAACATATGTATATCTGTAGTAAAATTGCAAAAAGTATCCTTTGGATCGAAGGAATAAGCACAAAGTTCAATTCGATTACAAAATTTTATTGGTCTAGTAAAACAAGAGTTCCAATGGTGGTGCAAAAAACACATGAAATTCACATACCACAGTAGCAATCAAGATTAAAGCATTCAACGTTCCTCATCTTCATTATGGCTACGAGTGAAGGTTTTGATGATCGTGTGTAATGCATTGTTTGGACGTTACGTCGTGTGCGGAACAAGATACTTGGAGGCAATAAAGCATGGACACCTCAAAATACACACGTTTCTGCCATATTTGTTCCAAACACTGGCAACTGCAAGTACCCAGTGCCTTTTTCCTTCTTTCATTCACTATACGATCTACTCAGACAATGACTTTTGAATTCATTATATGACATACACAGAAGATACATCCAACAGAAGATTTTTGGTCATTCGTCGAATAAGGAGGCAGGTCAGCTGAGTCACAAGTCTAATTGGCCAATGAATAGGCAGGTAATCTGGGTTGCAAGTTAATCATTAAATACATCTCATGCCAGCTGAGAGCTTAGTTTAACATTTTTCTTCACAACAGTAAAGCTCAACACTTGTAGATACAAGTTCATCTCCTAAAGAAATCAACATTCAGTGGGCCCAGGCTTGCAGAAAAGATCAGCACAAGTTTTCTCAATAAAAGCTTTGTATAAATACCATCCAAATAGTAAATGAATGTAGCTCAATATGAAGATTAAAAAAAAAAATTAATGCAATGAAACAGGTCCATATCAAGCCAAAATATTGGAGACAACCAATAGTTCTGAATCTTCTGATGACATAAAAGATTATAAAATATCTGAAGCACTTACTAGCCAAATCCAGACATATATCTCAGTAAATGAGCTTTAGAATTCTGAGTAAGTTTACCAAATAATCCAAACTTTACCTTAATTGGTTTTCCACAAAAGATTCGACCATTCCCCATTTGAATAGCCAAAGCAGCTTCAGAATGGTCACTGTATCTCACAAAACCAAACCCTTTATCATGTTGTATGCGAACATCCTCAATCACTCCAGCACCCAGGGCATGGAAATAGCGGTGGAGATCAACCTGTGTAACCTGCCATTTTACGCACTTCGACAACTCAGAACAAAATAAGACCTCGACAACAACCAATGCAACTTGTAAAGAAAATTAGCTAAATCCAGTAAAATAAACTGAACCAAGAACAAGATATCTATCAAAAAAATAATCTATGTTTGTAACTTGTTGCATATGAATTAGATATTGATATGGGAGCAGATTCAAACTTTTGAAAAACAAATACTGACATATTGGCTTGGCAAGCAACAATAGTTCACAAGAAAGAAAAACAGGAGGCAGGGAGAGGGTGGAGCTTCACCTCATGAGCAAGGTTACCCACATAGACAGTTGTATATTGTGGGTTATTCTCTGGACTATCATCATTTGTGTTTTCCTGGCCGTCATCTGCAAACAAAAAATAGTTGTGGCCCAGAAATCAAATTGTTATACCAGAAAAAAATTCTAGCAAATGTTCAATTATTTTGTTGAGTGATCATGTAATCGAAATTGCTCTAACTCAGGCAATTAAGCATCTAATTTAACAAAATTGAAGGTTCTAGAAGGAACTGATATGCCATCTAAATGAAAAACAAGCCACAACCAAATAGACATTAATAATTAGCAGACGAGACAGTACAAAAGTAAGGTTCATTTCATCAACACCCCCCCTTCTCTCTCTTCCAAATTGAAATCATCACAGATTAGACAGATCAACGTTAAAAAGACTATTATCTACAGATGCTAGATGTTTCGGCGTCTTTGTTCTTTATCAAGTATATAATATCTGATTTAACATTATGATTCCAACAAGGTCCAAAAAAGACCATAACCCCCTTAACATAGTTAGGTAAAATGGCACATATACACAAAAATCTGCCACATTATTCTCACGTGGCATAGCCAGGTGGAATGAAAAGTCATAATTCAAGGGAGAAGCTTGTCATTTTGCGGTCCAGAGATCCATTTCAAATGACTAGGTGACAGAGGTCAACTACAAGTGCATTAGGGATATATTCCAAAATTTTGAAGGCAAACCAGATGTCCACACTTTAGCAAGTGTATAGACTATAGAGGATATGAGGCCTCAAGCTAGTGCTGCAAGGTAATTTACCTTTAAAGTACATTCCATATATATAACCACAAACTTTGTAATATTAAATCTTAAGCAAAAATGAAAGCCCATTCCACAATTAAGGTAGACAAACACCTGAATTAAAAACATGTTGAAGTGCGACGTTATGCAAAACAATTTAGTAATAACCTACTACTATGCTTCAAAATAGTCACAAATATTGCTCATGGAAACCGACAATCTATCCTACTAGAAAGCAGGTTAGCTTTTGAGAATAAGCAAATCAACATCAATGGAAGATTTACAAACATGATTGCCCAACATACAAGAACAGCGTATTCTACATTGCTATTGCACAAGTTGAAGATTTCACCCACCAGCAGATCCATTTGTTAGCTCCACCACACTCTTGGAGTCTGAATTTTGTTTGTCTTCATTAGAATTAGCTCCCTTTGTAGCCCAGTTACAACGGATTTGCCGACTGCCAAGCCACTTACCTATGAAATGTCAGCATAAGATTATTCAACTCTACTATCAGAGTTAAAGAAGAGAAACAAATATCATGATTTAAACCATAGCACTCTTCTTGTTTTATAAATCATAATGTATATACACATTGATACACATTAATCTGAACATATGTAACATGTGCAATAATCAACAGTTACAAGACTCAAATTGCTAGTGTCCAAAGCAACCAGTAAAATAAACCTGACTCAAGGTAGGTAGCCTGAGGCATGTTAATTCATACCTCGCTAGAAAAGGTATGACCAGAAATTCATACAAGAAACTTACCATTCAAGTCATTTATGGCACTTTGAGCATCCTGCAGAAAGAATAAGAAAAAAAAAAGGTTAAGAAAATATTTAAATAATTCCGATGACCCTACAGATGATTGTCAACACTGACCTGTTGATTCCGGAAAGAAACAAAACCAAACCCCCTTGAACGCCCAGTTTTTTGGTCCCACATGACTCTTGCATCTCTATAAAAATGGGCCAAAACATGAGTCCATGTAATAACAAAGGTGTACATAAAATTTCACATAAACATTAAGGCAGGAAAAAAAAGTAACTTACTAAGGTGTTACACAATCTAATCACAAAAGGCACCAATACTAAATAAAAATTAATAAAATTCAGACACAAGGATATTATATAAAGCAAGGTCATTAAAGCTTACGAGCAGCTCTGATACACAGAGAAGCATGCAAACAAAGTGGCATCTGTGACCTCGGGACTAAGATCACCAACAAAGATGTTGTACTGCCCTATATATGCCAAAATAAGAAGTCATCATGAAGTCAATGATTTGCAGAATAGTACAAGACAGTCCAAAATGCACTACGGCACAAACACTGCAACATAATTGTTCTAAAATTGGACCTGATGTGTCCTCTCTTTGACCACTGGCATATGCCCAATTAACCTTAATAGGTTGGCCAAACCTGCAAATGTATGCAGTGTAACCATGACAAACACTACTAGAAATGATAAAAGTAACAACAAAAGTTAAATTATCCAACTTACAGCTGCCTCCCGTTAAGTGTTACAATTGCAAGGGCAGCTGATCGGCGGTCATAATAATCCACAAAACCAAAGGATGACTACAATGTCAAAATCAGAATGATAAGCATATACAACAACAACAAAGCCACAAGTTCCAACCATTTGGGGTCGGCATATCATATCATAGTTAACAATACAACAATATTGTGTGTGTGCCGGCTAGAAATTTAACAATATACCATGGATTAAACATCTGCCGGCTAGAAATTAAACTGTATTGTGTGTGTGTGCCTAGTATGATGTTGGTGCCATTTCAGTCAAATTGGAAAATGGTACAACATTTGTAACCAAAAAGGCAAATCTTGGGGAATGCTTTATTCCTGCAAAGGTACTAGGATTGTTAAAGAAAACTCTGGGCCGATCAGATTAATTAAAGTATGGAAACCACTATATGTATGCAAATGGCAGATCAAATTCTGCTATAAGATTAAATGTGCAATATATTTCAACTTGTAAGCTGCTACAGACATATAATGCAGGCAGGCAGAAGAACATCATTTTGACATCAAACGTTATCAAAATGAGAATTGTAAACACAAAAAACACCCAGAACCAACCAGCATCATGTTGTCCCCCGTAGAAATGGTCATCCAATACAAAAAGAAGGTCTAATTAAAAGACTTTTTCCCTCCTTCTTAGTAAAATATTTTTATTCAAAGCTGCACAACTTGGTAGGGGCGAAGGAGAGGATAACAAATAATAAGACATTTTATAATATGCACAAGATAATTTAGAAAAAAAGATCAGTCTCCTGATAATTCCTAATATCACCATAGTTAGTACGTATTACCATTAGTAAAATAACCAAAATATTAAGGGCCTTTTGAAACCAATTTAAAAACAATGTATTATGAAGCTGCATATATCTAATGATTCTAATCTATTAACACCAATGTTAATACTGAAATCAAAATACAAAGAATCACAGCACTTCCACTAAATAGCAGGAGTAACTGACCTTCTCTTTCCTAATAAGTTTGCATCCCTCAACAAGACCAGTACTTTGGAAAACTTCTTGAAGAAGGGGTTCAGTAACTTGAAGATGAACATTTCCTACGTACCTGCATTTTCATAGAAGAATAATGCAGGAAAAAAATTAAAAATAAATCACCATATGAAGACAATCAAAACAACAATTGCAACGACAGATTTTCAGCATCTTTATCACACGGCCAATTGTAGTGATTCAGGGCTCTGGCAGTCTAAATTCACATAAACGAAACATTTTAAAAAACAACTTGAACAAAACCAGCCTCATGGTTATGAATATACAATATATAACAGAAGGTTGGATTCAAGATGATAATGAAAATCCACATAACTACAATAACAAAACAAATTAAAAGAGAAATGGAAACCCCCACTATGCACAAATATATACATACACATACACATACACATACACATACACACATATATATACATATATATGTATATGTATATGTATATACATATACATGTATATACATACATATACATACATACATACATATACATACATACATATATATATATATATATATATATATATATATATATATATATATATATATATATATATAT